GTACATAGTCTGAATAAGTCAAGCATGAATTCACGACCACAATTCCGGATGTAACTTGCAGCCTAGGAAATTATGATATCGACTTTTCTTAATTAATTTCTTTATGTCGAAGTATGATAACGAAAAAATATGGTCTATATTCATACGTAAGTTATAATGACATAAGAGGCGGCGTAAATTGTTTTTTTGTGTGTTAGTGATATTCAGTAATGATATGTCGCTGTATTAAACGAGGTTTTCGCTTACTGCATGTATAGATTATCGATAAAAAACTTCACAAGCATTAAAGGGAACAACTCCCTAAGAAAATCGCACAATCCTTTGAAAGTCTTTGAATTCACATTGCCGTTCTTGAAGCAAGTTTTGCAGGTTCAGCTTACTAACTTGGTATTCTTCAATGGTTTGGAGCGTATTTCAAACATGTATTATTATTCATACCATTGATTCGCGTAAATTTGGAGAAAAATACGAATTAAACCAGACTCTTATCTTAGTATTATCGCTTACCAAAATCCCAATCCATATTCCAATAGCTCCTTTAGCAGGGAAGCCGCTCTCATAATGCATCATTTCCACCCTGTCGCCGACACCAAAGACAAGACACGAAAATCCAAACAAAACTTGGGCGATTGCTGAAAGTCGGCAATTCGTGTTGTCATAACCCTGTCCCTTCATTTCAGGGAGTTTTTTTTGAAGATTTCCAAGCTATTTCAAATGCAAATGTAGCTGTGTTTTTCCGATGACAAGCCAGTATTTCATGTGGTGATCATGGTTCACGTGTGCTGAGCGTGATCTATTCAAAAGAGTTGATCCACCGAAACGACCGTCTATAACAGATGAATAGTGCAGCCTCTGTAGTGTAGCGAAGGATGGGTATGTTTTATCATCTTTTATCTTCAATGTTCTCTGCACTTTTAAGGTCTAAAGCGTTTGAAATCAGTCGTTTGATCAACCTTTTTGATTTTGATATCTCATCATCCAAACACCTGCTTCGAGACTCACGAAATGTCACATTAAAAACAGACGTAACTATCGTGCGTGACGTTAATTAACTCTATAATCTCCTATTATGGACCGGTTCACAGTACAAAATAARCAGAAGWAGGAAGTTTTCTACGTGTGAACSTGGGAGAACATAAGTAGGATGCAGAAACGTAAGAAAATGAGAACTGATTTCCATTTCTATATGTTTCTGCTTGCTTTATGTAAAAAAACTTAACAGTTAGAAGCTGGAAAACGTAAACATAGCTCATATGCTTATGTTAATAAGTATGAACCAGCTTACCTTTCTGTTTTGATTATGTCGTAGACTGGGAACCAGCCAATGGGGTAATTTTTAAAGTTTACTRTCATATTAGGGACGAGGCTCAAAAAAAACGTTCGACAAAATGTACTTATTAACTTACTGAACCCGAGGTAAATTGTGCGAGGCCTTTATGATCTTTGCAACGGTGGTTTTCCGCCACGTTTGACTTCACAAGCTAAACCATCACGTACAAGGCCTGATCCTCAGGACTACAAGAACTTACAGATAAACTTTATTTATTGGCATCAAATGACTTTAGCAGCATTTCACTCACGCAGAAATGCTGACTATTTTTTTTTTAGTTTTAGTTTTCATTTTGTATGAAATCCATATATGGTTCAAAAGATACAAACATGATCGTACAATTCAATGTGATCATATGGTCGATTGCAAGAGTGAAAGTTACTCTGGCTTCCAATGCAATTTCTTAGACACATGGATGACAAACAAGTGCAATAGTGTTGCTCGTGTTCATCACTATCAAAATTTGGCCCATTGTTCGTCCCCCCCCCCCAAAAAAAAAAAACGGTCATACGGTTTCAAATGTTTCATGCAGTTCTGCAATAGATCCTAGTAGTGACAATTGATTGCAAATTACACATTTATCCACCGCAGTTCGAACCATTACTTCATGAAATATTGCATTCTCCATGTCAGTTGAGACCATTTGACTTTGTTTTTTCCACCCAACTTTCTCTTTTAACATAAACCATCATCCCTTCTGGGTTTCTCCGGCCTAAACTCTCTCAGAGCGGCTACGAACGCCTGGCTACGCAGGCTATCATCTCCTCAGCATTTGGAACTTCAAGACTGACTGAAAACTAATCAGCTGAATCACAACCGTTTCTACGGACTGTTTCTACGTTTCTGACCAAAATAAGAGCAACAAAGTGTACTTTTCAGAAGTTTTTTGATGGATGCTCTTATTTCCTTATTTCTGGACCCATAAACAAGGGGRTTAAGTGCACAACCAGCGTACAACAGGATCAAACTCACATGCTGTATCCCTTGTAGCATGGAAAGAGCTTCACATAATTTGAGTCTAGAAAACGCYACAGTTAACCCAAAATTTGGGATAAAAGTCAGCAGAAATACAACGGTAATGATACCAAAGGTTGCCGCTGCTTTTTTATTGAAGTGCAAGTTTGTGTTTCTTTGGGGATTGGGCTGTGTGGCTRCTGTGTTCGCCCTAAGTTGGTTGTTCATTGAGTTAACTTGTCTCATATGTTTTCGCGTTACCCTGTAAATTTGGACATTGCAGTAGATTGTGATAATCAAGGGAATTAGCATAACCCATAATCCTTTATTGATGTGCATTGGCCCAGATGAAGGGCTGTCCAACCAACTTATGACAAAAAAGATATCAAAGCCTATATTTATCAGCCATAGGGAGCTTATTATCAGGGCGCATTTGAGTCGTGTCATGATGAATGGGTACCTCAAAGGGTACATAACTGCGACGAATCGATCAATACTCATTGCTGCTACGTTAAGGCACGAGGCGGTGGGCGCAAAGTCAATGAATGCATGACTGAGATAGCCCATGAAGCGATACTTTACGGTGAGGTCTTTAGACCACAGCACAACATAAGCTGTGCTGAATGGRATACCAAACAACCCAGACAGAAGATCGCTCACCGCCATGGAACACATRAAAAAATTCGAAATGGTCCTCAATCTTTCCTCCCTGATGATGACGAATAGAATTGTCGAGTTACTAACTACTGAGACAACCGAAAGAACGGCACAGGACAACAAAAACAACGGCAAACTTGCTTCGCCATGAAGAACTGGTTTGTACTTTTTGAAGCAGATGGAGTCGTTGTCAGCCATTCTGAATCCCAGACAGTCTTTAGAAGTTGAAGCAATTCCAGAATCGATTTGTATCTCAAACTGCTCCCAATGTCTGTTTTTAAACTTCTCAGTGCTTCTTCGTTATTTCTCCAACTTTTATAAGAAATCTACATCTGCATCTGCTGCAGCGTTTGAAATCCCTTAAATATAAAAAATTCAACGACTCGCATCGTCCGCGAACGAGAAGTTCCTAAAGATATGGTCATAAAGTCACTCATCCAGACTTGTTTTATCCATTTTTGTTTGTTTTCTATTGCTTTTGTTGTTTCCGACTATGTTTTTCTGTTATTTGATGATTTTTGTTGGTATTTCGCTAGATCTAAAGGCAGCTGGGCATCTGTGACTTTGCCATTCTCCGCTCAATTTATTATTAGCTGTCTTCTGATCACTGCGACGTCTAATTTCTGGGTAAACTCTTTAAAGGCAACTTTATACCAAAATCTGAAGTTGCAAGTCGAGGGTGTCGATCCTTATTGATGAGGAATGGAAGGTCTTCTTTTCGTGAACTCGAAACCACCGGCACAATGCACTACCTTGATAAGCACCAAAATGTACAATTTGAGTTAGATCTTTGCAGGGCGAATAGCATTTATAGCATCTCGCAATTTTTCCATTGAATTAACCTCTGCTGTAATTCTGTGCTTTTTCCTGTAACGGCAATTTTTTCTTAGGTCTCTTCACTCAATTCATTCAACATAAACTCTACAGAAAAGCGGCGTCTTGTCCTCAGGACTACCATTATAGCGAGTTCTAGCGCACCTGCTAGTAGTTTTAATCTGATAAGAAACTGAAATCATTAGTTCTCCTGCGCACTTAATCAAAAGCCAAAAATTAATAAACAGGATAATGTGTGAACACTGTCTSTACAAGTATTCTTATGCAAATAAAMGACACACTTTATTATACAATCGCTGTGACAACGAGGAAAAGTTAAACCTTTCAGTTGTCGCTATTTATTCCTGGGRAGACATAATATTTCAYATTTTTGTGTTAATTGAGCACTTTTAAAGGTTTATAAAAGGTTTTCCTACTATTGAACGCTAATAATGTACGAAAATTACATGGAAATGAGTATTGAAAGGTGTAAAAACAAAGCAAAACAAAATAAAATTGAATAATAGGACCAAATGGAGGTGAAAGTTAAACTTCCACACCGGCAGACAAGCTAATCCGCCATAAAAGGTGCAGGCACATGAACATTGTCGCCTGTTTTTATTTGACTGTTGCACTTCTGATATTACATTTTGTTTAATATCTTCAGTTTAGCACAATTACCTTGGTGAATTCATTGTCTATCTTTCATCTAACTGTAATTCAAAAAGCAATAAAAATGCCAAGTTGACAAATATTCCAATAATCAAAGTCTTCTAATGTCAATATCATCTGTAAACTCCATGAACACATGAAACTTTCATTGAATTTATTCAACTGAATTTCAAAGAGCTCTTATTGTACAACAAACGAACACGATTGCACTACTTTTTTAACAACTAARTTAATAATAGCATATCTCTTATGCAAAAATAGTAATATTTCCAGCGRTATTCACCATAAACATCATATTCGCAACGTTTATTCCCATAAACGATCCTCGATAGTTGTTCGTTCTTTTCAAGATGCACTTTGAACTTTTTTCATTATCTATCCTCCATTTTTTTAATTACATTTTTGTTTTATTTTATTCCTATATTGCATTGAATTATTTCATTAATATGTTTTTTTTYCGATAACATAACATATATAATCCTCTTGATAGGTCCGTATACAGCCTTTTAATAAGTCCCAAGGTATTGTTTTCTCCGCRYTTGACGTCAAATTTMTTCTTTTGAAATTTTTAMAATACAAAAGRAATTCAAAAGAATAAATTTGACGTCAAGTGCGGAGAACGTAATTCCTCGGGACTTATTAAAAGGGTGTATAGTGTATATTGTAATATGTATAACGAAAACGTTTTGGATCGGACCCAAAGTTTAATATGAACTTTTGTGCCATAAATTGTGACTTCACTAAACTCATTCGATCCTCTTGATCCGGGTGAACTAAGCAAGCAATTGTCAGGTTTTCAATCTATTGCGGTTATGAACTCTGGTAAGGTCTTTCGATGTTGCGCTTAGCGTGGGCAATTGCAAGGGCTGGCTCTAGAGCCTTTGATCATCTATCCTTGTTTGTTTTGCATTACGGGATAGTTCAAGTAATGTCACCCGAGGCTGATCATTCGTATTTTTTGGTGATTCTTTTAGGGCAAAGTTGATGTGAGATCGTGTTGGCTTTTTTGATTTTTCTTCGTTGTTCTTGTTTCTTGTTCGAATATCTTTTTCTTGTTGCTTAGAATCTTGTACCTGTTGGWTAAAGAGAGAATCCATCTCAATTCATTTCCTCTTTAGACTCTGATTGGTGAAGGCGAAAGGTCAAGGGAAAGGGGGTTGGAATCTTGTGAGGAGGCAAGGAGGAAGGTGAGATGGGTGGTCGGCGGTTGACTGAAGTCTCGTGCACAGCAAGGGTCAAAGTTGGAAGGTGAAGTTGTCATCTGAATACAAATGAAAGGACTATGATCAACCGGCGCTCAATGCGGCTCCAGTGTCCGATATGCTCAGTCAAGATTCGCTTTATATTCAGTGTTCGTAGTTTTGTTAGGGATGGGCTGGAAGTTTCAGGAGGTTGCCTAGCCATTTTCTTATGTTTCTCGTAACTCAAATCTAGATTTAAAACACTTTGAAGAATGCCTTGCAAGTAAAATAAGCTCTCCACTTTGGAGGTCATTAAAAGACAATGTGACAAGACAATACTACAATAGCAAATTAGAGTCGACAAGGTGAGGTGTTGTTGTAAATGGCCCAATCGTACAAATGGTCTTATTATCTCAGGCCTAGTCTCCACCCCAGGCAACTCTTTTTTTTTTTCCTTTGGGCTTCCTTTGTAACGGTCATATTGGCCGCTAGGAACTGGGGTGACCTACGTAGCACGCAGTTGATGTAATGTATTCATAAAATGTATTGTATTCCATTGTTTCTCGTTCTATTGTATTATGTGTTTTGTATTATATCTTTATGAATATATTACATCAACTGAGTGCTACGTAGATTCTCCCCTAGGAACTAGTGACGTSAAAGGAAAAATAATATCCTCTCTCGCCCCCATTCTCCCTCTTTTAACTCCCMAAAAAGACAGGAAGCCCGTGATTCTTAGTGATGCTTCGGAGGAGGCTAATCTCAGACTTACGGTGTCTTTGYTGCTGCTTCCCTTGTTGAACCTGCATTTCAGTAGTGTCCACACGGCAACACAGAGCTCCAGTACACTTTGGTACATCTCAACTGAACCAAGAGTAATTTGCAAGCTGCACTGTCCTTCGCTACAGGTTGTTGAGTTTGAAGGACATTTGTTACAAAAGCTTTCACTGCTGACCATCATGGCGATACTTACACTATAGCAYGTGATTAGTGTAATTGTGAAGACTATGGATACGATTGTTGACACTAGGTAGATGTTTACCTGAAAGAATTAAAAGCAAAAATCGAAAGTACACGAAAAATTCACAAGTTRAGCCGCTGGACTGGAGGTTATACGACACTGCTTTGTAATCTCGTACCCAGAGCCCGCGTTACTTCTGGTCTTGCGCAGTAAAGAGGGACAGGAGCGCTGGGTACGAGATTGACTACTATGTTGCAAGTTATTCCGTGCAATGTGTTATGAAAGGTATACATAGGTTCTACTTCGTGAAACATCTTAGTAAACACTAAAAAGGTCCAGACA